CAGTTGGCCGATTTTTTTACAAAGACTAACATTGTTGATTGTTTTTGTTTTCTTCTTGGCCAACTTTCGATTCTTTCTGCACTCGCATCCTCAGTTTGAGAGAAGGGGGGGGGGGGGGGGTATTATTGTAGTAGTTTATATTATTCATTAATGGTAGTTTGGTTCTTTAGGTTATTAGGGTTTTATCCTATTAGATTATATATTTGTACTTAGCTTTCGATTGATCAATGTAATCAATTTACTAGTTTCTTCTCTATTATCAGTATTGTCCATGTCACACCCCAAATCCGGGCATGACCGGCCGTGGCCCACAGGGACTTAGCCCAAGGCACACGTAAGCCTAAACACGAATCCAATTACATTGAACAACTGAACAATAGTCCAATAATAAATAACCAAAACTCAATCCAGACATGTCACAATTATAAACGGCAAAATCAACCGTAATCAAAAACCATCCAAACTTATGGGATATAAACAACCCACATATCAAAAATAATCCTAAATGAACTTCGATAAGAATAAATATAAATATGCACAAACTTGACATAACACTCTAAACTAAAGGAATGCCCTAGAGGTCCATGCAATTGAGTCCCCGCTATGCCATGAGTCCACTCTAAGTCCTTCTAACACCTGGAAATGGTAAACAACTAAGTCAGCTGATAGCTCAGTGTGTAGCAACATGGATAGTAAATACAGTTTTGAAAACAAGGTTCAATTCCAAAATAAGATATATATCACAGAAATTAGATTGGCATACCGTTTGGTAAACACAATCTGTTTCAAAAAGAAGGTTCCACAATTCAACACTTAAAATACTCATGTCTCGCAAGAACATGATAAACGACATTTTTCACTTAACTTGCCTGCCTTGGCCGTGGCATTGCATGCTGCTGGCCTAGGCCTTGGCATGGCATGCTGCTGGCCTAGGCCTTGTGTCACGGCCTTGGTTTTTTTCCAAGCCAACCGTGCGGCCTTAGATGCTTATGCACGCCTTGCTTGCACCTAAGTAAGCCTTCTTTGGAAGAGAGCTAGGAGAAGTTTGCACACACAAGAGAGACTTTAGAGAACTTAGAGAGAGCTCTTGGAGAATGCTAGCTTTGTATTGCTTGAATGCTTGATTACACTTGGTGGTTTGGGCAAATGACTCCCTCCCCCTTTTATAGGCTACAAGGATCATTCTAGAACTATAAGTATGGAGAGTGTTCTAGACACTTCCTCCTACTATATCTTAGTAGATTATTCTAGAATGTACATATCTAGAAGGATCTACATATATCTACAATTATGTACAAGCATCTACAAAACTCTAGGAAGTTCTAGAATGTTCCAGTGATTTCCAGAGCCTCCTAGGTCTTTCTTAGTGAGGGACAGCTTCAAAATTTGGCAGTCTGTGACATTCTCCCCCACCTAATGTGGCGACGTCCTCGTCGCGTCCTCTTGATGGAACCGTTGTATCTTGTCTTCAAATTGCCACAAAGCTTCAGCCGGTTCCCAACTTGCTTCGCAATCTGGCAAGCCCTTCCATTTTACCAAGTACTCATGACGTGGGGCATAGCTTTGTCTTCGAACAGTGCGGTCTGCCAAGACGGACTCTACCTCCTTGTCATAAGTTGCAGTGATGCCCAATGGTGCTCTTTTTGTCTTGCCTCTATCTGGGTCTTCCTTGTCTTCATAGTATGGCTTTAAGCAGCTCACATGGAAGACTGGGTGGAGCTTGAGATGTGGGGGTAAGTCAAGTTTGTAAGCAACCTTACCCACCTTCTTGATTATTGGATACGGTCCATCATAGCGGCGAACAAGCCCCTTGTGTAGGCCCCGGGTGAACTTGTTTTGGCTAGACAAGATCTTGACCATCACCAAGTCACCATTGTTAAACTCTCGGTGCCGCCTCTTCTCATCCGCCCACTTCTTCATCTTCTTGGTTGCTTTGTCGAGGTAGGATCGTGCTACGTCCACTTGTTCATTCCATGACTTAGCAACCTTGTAGGCCGATGGACTCCTTGCTGAGTTGGTTGACAAAGAGTGTGGAGTGAGTGGTTGTTGCCCCGTGGTTAGCTCGAATGGACTCCGATTAGTTGCCTCACTCCTTTGCAAGTTGTAGGAAAATTGAGCTATATCAAGCAACTTAGCCCAATCATGCTGGTTTGTATTTACAAAATGCCTCAGATATAGCTCCAATAACGCATTCACCCTTTCGGTTTGTCCATCCGTTTGAGGGTGGAAGCTGGTAGAGAAATGAAGTGCTGACCCCATTAGTTTGAACAACTCGGTCCAAAACTTGCCTGTGAACCTTGAGTCTCGATCACTAATGATGGACTGTGGCAAGCCCCAATACTTCACCACGTGCTTGAAGAATAGCTTGGCCGTCTCCTCAGCTGAGCACTCGTTAGGTGCAGCTATGAATGTAGCATACTTGGAGAAGCGGTCTACCACCGCTAGGATAGTCTTGCACCCTTCTGACTTGGGCAATGCCACTATGAAGTCCATGCTGATACTTTCCCAAGCTCTGTTAGGTATGGGGAGTGGCTCCAACAACCCTGCCGGACTTTGATTTTCCACCTTGTCTTGTTGGCACACAAGACAAGTCTTTACGTATTGCTCTACCGCATCTCGCATTTGTGGCCAATAGTAACTCGACTCCAACAATGCTCGAGTGCGTCTTTGTCCCGGGTGGCCAGCCCATTGGGTGTCATGGCATTCCTTGATAAGGTTCCTCCGCAGGTTTCCCCACTTTGGAACATAGACGCGCCGCCCTTTTGTGTAAAGGATGCCATTCTCTTCCCAAAACCTCTTGGTCTTGCCTTCTTGGGCCATTGCTACCAAACTCTTGGCCAGATTGTCATGCTCCATGCCTTCTTTGATTAGGGTTAGCAACTCCCCCTTTAGCTTGACAATGGTGGCTAGCTCAGCCTTCCTGCTTAGTGCGTCTGCTACAAGGTTTGCTTTGCCAGGCTTGTACTCCATAATGTAGTCGAACTTGGCCAAGAAATCTTGCCATCGTGCTTGCTTCGGACTTAGTTTCTTTTGAGTCTGGAAATAGCTTGTGGCTACATTGTCAGTCTTCACCACAAATTTGGAACCAAGCAAGTAATGCCTCCAAGTCCTTAGGCAATGTATGATGGCTGTCATCTCCTTTTCTTGAACCGTATAACGCCGCTCCGTGTCATTAAGCTTCCGACTTTCATAGGCTATAGGATGTCCATCCTGCATCAAAACACCTCCAATGGCAAAGTCTGATGCGTCAGTTTGTACCTCATATGCTTTGGCACAATCCGGTAGAGCCAAGACCGGTTCCTTCGTTATAGCCTCCTTTAGCTTGTCGAAAGCATCTTGACATTTCCTCGTCCATTCCCACGTCTGGCCTTTCTTAAGCATGTCAGTGAGAGGGGCTGCTATTGCCGAGTAGCCCATGATAAACCGCCGGTAGTAGTTGACAAGCCCAAGAAAAGATCGCAGCTCCGTTACTTTGGTGGGTGGCCCCCATTCTTTGATTGCCTTCACCTTGTCTTCTTCCATACTAAGCTTGCCTCCCTTGATCTTGTGGCCGAGGAATGAAACCTCTTCTTTGGCAAATGAGCACTTTTCTTTCTTCACGGGGGGGGGGTGAATTATTATTGTAGTAGTTTATATTATTCATTAATGGTAGTTTGGTTCTTTAGGTTATTAGGGTTTTATCCTATTAGATTATATATTTGTACTTACCTTTCGATTGATCAATGTAATCAATTTACTAGTTTCTTCTCTATTATCAGTATTGTCCACCTGTTTATTGTTGAGTAATTACAATTATAATAGCGAAACCTTAACAAATAATTTGTGATTAATAGTGTAATTCATCACAATTCATATGAGCTGTTGGAAATAAGATTTATTGTCCAAGATATCCGAAGATATGGAAGATATCAAAATATATGGAGATCTCATGATTTGTGCATATTATGATTCTTTTATATCTTTGATTTATTTCAATTCCTTAACTAAGGGATTTGATTGTCTTTCCCACTCTATATATATGGTGTATCATGTAAATAATAATATCAAGTTGAGTGAATGAAAAATGTAGCCCCTTTGCGTGGATGTAGGCCAATATTAGCCAAACCACATTAAACCTTTTTGTTCTTTCTTTTCTCTTTTCCATTTCTAGCATTTCTCCATATTCAACCTTATTGTCTTATTACAAAATTCAACTAGAGCTATGTGCCTAAGTGCTAAACATCATTTCATAAAAACCAGGGACTTGATACAACTGGTCATTGGCCTTATTTGGTGCAGTTTATAGAGCTTTTTATAGCTTCCTTTTATTATTATTATTATTTGTTATTTCTTTGGAAATCTATGTGAGTGTTTGATGCAACTTTTGTTTACAATTTATGAGGCAAAAATCAACTTATATAAGCTGGAAAAAATTGATTACTGAAAAGCAGGGCAAGGGTTGCTTTTAGCTTCTACTTCTGATTATAAGCTTCTAGCTTGCAAGAGGCTGAACCAAACAGGCCAATTACAACTTATCTGGCAAACAAATAGGGCCATAAAGTACATATGTGTATCATTGTCAAAACTATGAAATTGAAGGTTATAAGGCACGCACAAACTTCATTATCTCGTCATACAAATACATGGGATCTTCGTTATAAGATATGCACGAACTTCAGTCATCTTCATGTGCACGGATATACACGGAAGCTGGGTCCACAGTTTTAAGTCTCATCCCCTGAACATATAGAAGAGATAGGGTGAGCTAAACCAATAGTAAATAATATAGGAAATGGGGCATACACTTTACCATGGATACGTTGTAAAGGAAACATAAGCTGTATCCTTTTCAATTGAAGGTTATCACTTTCAGTGTGTAGTATCGACAGTTTTTGTAATCATTTATATTTGAGAAAAAAAATGTATGAGAGAATTATAACATTATCCAAGGTTATAATTTTCTTCTTTAATTGTTTTACTTTTTAGTTATATATTTTAAATTATATGTTATTCTTGAACAGATTCAACTTTTCGGTTTCTGTTCGAACAATGGAAAGATCACTTTCCCCCAGGCTACCTGCTCAAGGAAGTGTCTATTGATCAACCATTTGAAGAAGATGCTTGTTGCTGCCGCTTCAATTTTATCACAGACAAAAGTGGGAGTAGTGATTCAGACTTAGTCTTGAAGTACCAATGGTTTGTAGGAGAAAGAACTCCTTCAAATTTTATTGCCATTCCTGATGCCACTGGAGATGTAATGGTTTCTAACCTTGTTATTACATGGTAAATTCTGGATTATGGATGGTTTTTTTACATGGTACCATGTCATGCTGATAATTATATGATCGCTAGGTGTATTGGCCAAAGCATGAGGACATTGACAGAATTCTGAAAGTGGAGTGCACACCTGTCCTGGAAGGGACCGAGTATCCTACAGTTTTTGCTATATCTTCACCAGTTTCACCTGGTATGCTCTTTTTATGTTTTTGGAGCTTAGTTAACATCCATCATTCTTCTAAATCATTCATTGTCAAATCTTTATTTTGTTGTTTTCTTGCAAAGGAACTGGGTGTCCAAAGGTTTTGAAGATTGATGTTCGTGGGGAACTAATGGAGGGAAACATTATTAGGGGTTATGCAGAGGTTGCATGGTGCGGTGGAACTCCAGGAAAAGGTGTTGCTAGGTATACCACCGTAACTTTGCTAATCAAAGTACTTTTTTTTTTTATAAGATGGTGTGCTGGCTGGCTTATGCGCATCTCGACTATAGGTACAACACTTTAAGTACTTATAGTGTTGTCAGTATCTTATGATTCACGATACTTATCTTACAATTCAATACTATTTAGAGGTAAATTGATACTATCATCAATATGTTTCTTAAATTAAATGTATCTTACGATATATGATGCGGTATACATTACGTGATACATAATGCAATAAATATGTTACATGAATACTTAAATTTCCTTAGAAATTTTGGAAAAAATTATTCAACTTATTTTATGTAAATTAATATTGTCAAAATTTTTCATTAACTTATTAAAAAAAAAGTATTTTTGAGATGAGAAGGGTACTTTTTATTTTCTTTCTCTACCTTTTCAACAAATTTCTATTATGTGGTTTTAAGTATCTTGTATTATTGAATTTACTATGGACAAGCTATTTGAGATAAAATATTAAAACTGACATTGTGATTGAAGACGATATGTCTTGATGCTTGCATGTCTATATTTTAAGGAACTTTGCTTTTGTAATTTTAAGGATTATACATTGTTTAGAGTTTTATTCTCACAAGATATTTAATTTTCATAACTAGATTTATTTTTCTACCTATTTTTAAAGGTTAACATCTTACGATACGTGATTCAGAAAATTAAAAAAACAACACAGAAAATACTAATAAAAAAAGTGTATCAACATCTAAAACTGATTATTCCCTAAAACTTCAATTTGCTCTCAAATGAATTTTTTGGTCTGAAATTTCCAGCTGGCTAAGGAGAAGATGGAATAGCAGCCCAGTGGTAATTGTTGGTGCAGAAGATGAGGAATACCAATTGATTCTAGATGACATTGATTCATGTTTGGTTTTTATGTATACTCCTGTGACAGAAGAAGGTGCTAAAGGAGAACCTCAATATGCAATTACAGATTATGTAAAGCCAGGTATGAGGTGGATAAAACACCAGTGCATGTTTTTTTGTTTTTTCCCTTGTCTTCATTGTTAGTGGACCTTCCTAAGAAAAAGAACGGAAAAAGGATGCATCTTACTTTACTATGGACGTGTTAATTTATTTTCTCTCAACTTTGCTGCGATACCATCGTAATTACCTCCAAGCTTAGGTTTCTTCTTTTTTTATTTTTTAATTTTCTTATCTTATATATATATAGAATTTTTTTCCTCGTTAACTGTGCATTGAGTTGTTCATTGGATGTGGATGTTACAAAATTGTGTCACATGACACTTCAAGAAAGATTTTTTGTGTATACAACACCCCCCCTAAACTTTTGGTACCGTGCTTCTTTCAAAGTTAACTTAAAGATAACTTCAATAAGGTTTAATAATGATTTTTTGTGTTTGACAGTGAAAAATTTCACTGTCTTTTCATACGGAAATTTCAAAATTAACAGGTAAAAAACAAAAAAAAATTGATGAACAATAATTTCAATTTTTTTTAAAATCCAAAATTGAGGGGTACAAAATGAACAAATTATTTGATTATGTTTGTCATTTTTTATCAGTAAAATATCACTCTTTTTCAAACTGAAATTTATAAAAAGGAAAAATCAATTTTTTATACTTCCTCCGTCCCGACATATTAGTTCCATTTAGGGAATCCAACTTTTTTGTGGTAGTACAATTACTATAGCTAGAATGTAAATGGAGAAATTTAGGGTTATGGTTTGAGAGGAAGAAAGAGAGAAGAGAGAAGAGAGAAGAGAGAAAGAGACTGATAATAATATATGGTTTGGGGTTGTTGAATTACTCTACACCATGCAGGAGCCTTAGACAAAAGAGATGAACGGGCTGGGCCATAAGAAACAATGCAACGAGTTTGGGACCGCTGATAAACTTGTAGAGGAGAGGGAGGTAATGGAGTAGGATCTAAACTGGGGTGAGGATCTATACTGGTGGGAGGTGAGATAGAGGATGAGGGAACACAAGGCACCGGAAGAGTAGGTGGGGGAGAGGATGGCTCCTCCTCACGACAAGAGAGAAGATCAACGGATAACTGCTGCCCAAGTGAAGAACAAAAAGGAGTAGCCTCAAAAAAGGTAACATCAACACTGACAAAGTACCTACGAGACTCATGATGGTAACACCGATAACGTTTCTGAGTACAAGAATAGCCTAAGAACACACACTTGTGAGCATGAGGAGATAATTTATCCAAATTCGAGTCAAGAACATGGACAAAGGCCACACAACAAAAAACACGAGGAGACAAGGGAAACAGAGAAGATACTGGGTATAACTGAGAGTAGGGAGACTAGTTGTGTAACACAACATCACCCCAAAACTACTTGGGAACGTGCATGTTAAACATCAGTGTGCGAGCCACATCTGGCAAATGGCAGTTTTTTCGCTCCACAACACCATTTTGGGGGGATATATGAGAACAACTAGTCTGATGAATAATATCATAAGTATCACAAAAGTTATTAACAATAGATTGCGCATATTCTAAGGCATTATCAGATCGAAATATCTTGATACGTTTCCCAAATTGAGTAAAGATTTCATTATAAAACTTAGAAATGATGGAAGGCAAATCAGACATCTGTTTGATTAAAAACAAACAAGTCATTTTAGAATAATCATCCACAAAAATAAAAAAATAAAAAAAACCATTAACAGTGGGAGTTCGAGAAGGACCCCAAATATCTATACAGACAAGATCAAACGACTTAGATACACGATTAACACTACGATTAGGAAAAAAAACTACGGTGATGCTTTCCAAATTGACAGGCTTCACACTCAATCTAAGAAATATGACTCAATCAAGAATAGTTAACTTGAGCTTAAGGAATGACCCAAGCGAAAATGCCACTGCAAAGGAGACACTATAGCACTCAACACAGTAGACGGAGGACGAGGAGAGCTCTTAGTGTCCAAAAAGTATAAGCCGTCCTTCTCATGCCCCAAACTAATCATCCTCTTGGTCTGGAGGTACTGCAAAACACATGAAGTGGACGAAAATGTTATTGAACAGTAGAGAGCTTGAGTCAATTGACTAATAGAAAGCAAATTCAATGGAAACTTAGGCCTCGTTTGGCAAGTGGCTTTTTTAGCCAAAAAGTCAAAAAATCACTAAAAAAATCAAAAAGCCAACAACCCATACAAAAAAGTCAAAGATTCCATTTTCTCTCTACTTTTTGCACATCTTTTCGTAAAAAGTCAAAAAGTCAAAAAGTCATCTCAAACATACTAGTTTTTTTTGTATCACATTTTAGCAAAAAAGTCAAAAAGTTATTAAAAAAGTCTGTTCCCAAATGAGGCCTTAGGAACATAAAAACTAGAGGGTAAGGAGAAGGATGGAGTTGGATGATGAGGGTCTTGACCACTGACAGGTTGAGAAGATCCATCAACAAGTATAAAATCATGAATAACAGGCCTAAGAGTATCGAAAAGAGAGGAATTACCAGAGATATGGGAACTAGCGCCAAAGTCTATGAGCTAAGGTTGGGTGGACTGAGCCACACATGCAATATTACCTGAATAGCCATAGTAGCTGCAGAGGATAAAGGTAGACTAGGCCGAAGAGACTGGACAAGGGCGGTAAGCTTGCTAATCTGAGTAGTGAGTGCCTCATGAGAATCAACTGGAGAAGCAATAGAGCCAGTGGAAAATGAGGATGGAGTATCCAGGGGCTTTTCCCAAACTAAGCCTCTTTTGCATCCTATTTCCCAAATTAGGCCTAGTTTGGACGGAATTCCCAAACTAAGCTAAAGCGCTATTACAAATCGCGCTTTCACTGTTTGGAGCCCAAAATGTGATGAATAGTGAAAGTGCTATTAAAAACCGCACTTTTAATTAATAAAGCGTTGTTGAAAATCACGCTTTTAACATAATTTTTTTTTTTGAAGAAAACGCTATTCGAAATAGCGCTTTCACTGTGCATTCGTATTCGGAAGAAAATGCTATTTGAAATAGCGCTTTCACTGTGCTTTCTTAGGAAAACGTTTAAAATATATTAAAATGTGACCAAAATAAAACACAAATGCTTTGTAGCACAAATGGTAGTGTGCTTGTCTCGCACCACAGTGGCGTGGGTTCAATCCGCGGGAATTGCTACCTTTCAATTAAGTTCAACTTTTTTTTTTTTTTCTTCCACTCTACACTTTATATATTTATTATGTAATTTTTTTATCAAAAAAAAGTAAAATGTTTGTTTGGTTAACTAAAATTTTTTTCTATAAAATACAATTTTTTTCAAAATGTCAACATGATTATTTAAAAAGTATTCAGTGTATTTGGTTTGAATTTTTTGGATTTAGTTATTTGAAAACTGAGTTTTTTTATTTTCGTATTTTTTTGTTTTTAGTAAATATTTTTAAAATTTTAAATATTTTTTTTTTTACTTTTTCAGATGCACCTTAGTTAGATGTATCTAAAAAGTAAAAAAATTGTAAAAAAATATTTTACAAAATTAATAAATACATAAAAATATAAACAATGTACTGAAAAAATATTTTTGTATTTTTAGTATCTTTTCAGCAAATTTTCATTTTTTTCAGCAAAATGTACTCAAAAAAATATGCACAGTGAAAGTGTATTCCAGAAATATTTTTTCAGCAAAATGTACGCTTTTAAAATATTTTAGTACATATTAAAAGCGTACATTTTTTTATTTTTTCATAAATATATAAAGTATAGAGTGAGTGAAAAAATACAAAAAATGTACTAAAAAATATTAATTTTTTCAGCAAAATGTACTCAAAAAATGTATGCTTTTAAAATATTTTGGTACATTTTAAAATATTTTAAAAGTGTACATTTTGCTGAAAAAATATTTTTTGGGTACGCTTTCACTGTGCATAATTTGCTGAAAAGATACTAAAAATACAAAATTATTTTTTCAGTACATTTTTTGTATTTTTATGTATTTATTAATTTTTTAAAATATTTTTTCACAATTTTTTTACTTTTTAGATACATCTAACTAAGGTGCATCTGAAAAAGTAAAAAAAAAAATTTAAATTTTAAAAATATTCACTAAAAACAAAAAAATACGAAAATAAAAAAACTCAGTTTTCAAATAACTAAATCCAAAAAATTCAAACCAAATACACTGAATACTTTTTAAATAATCATGTTGACATTTTGAAAAAAATTGTATTTTATAAAAAAAAAATTTAGTTAACCAAACAAACACTTTACTTTTTTTTGATAAAAAAATTACATAATAAATATATAAAGTGTAGAGTGAGTGGAAGAAAAAAAAAAAGAAGTTGAACTTAATTGAAAGGTAGCAATTCCCGCGGATTGAACCCACGCCACTGTGGTGCAAGACAAGCACACTACCATTTGTGCTACAAAGCATTTGTGTTTTACTTTGGTCACATTTGAATATATTTTAAACGTTTTCCTAAGAAAGTACAGTGAAAGCGCTATTTCAAATAGCGTTTTCTTCCGAATACGAATGCACAGTGAAAGCGCTATTTCGAATAGCGTTTTCTTCAAAAAAAAAAAAATTATGTTAAAAGCGTGATTTTCAACCGCGCTTTATTAATTAAAAGCGCGATTTTTAATAGCACTTTCACTATTCGTCACATTTTGGACTCCAAACAGTGAAAGCGCGATTTGTAATAGCGCTTTAGCTTAGTTTGGGAATTCCGTCCAAACTAGGCCTAGTTTGGGAAATAGGATGCAAAAGAGGCTTAGTTTGGGAAAAGTCCCGAGTATCCATAACTTAATGCACACGGTCAGGTTTGCCATACTTCTGCCAACACCGAGGTTCAGTATTTTTTAGGGAACCATAATGAGTACACGTGCGATTACCACGAGAACTAGAACCACGTCCACTACGACCACTACGACAAGAACCACCACGAGAACTACCTCCATGAGTACCTCGTGAGCCAGAATAAGAGCCCCATTGAATAGAGGGTCCATGTAAACTCCCTCAACTAGGCCCACAGTCGCCACTGCTAGAGACCAA